CTTGAAAATATTTTTAAATCAAGGCAAAAACTTCAAAAACAAAATCAAATTCAAACTTAAAAACAAGGGCAATAACTCTGAAACAATTCATCCAATTATTACCGCTTTCAAGATTGACTGAGATCTCATCAATACACCTAGTTTCATCACGATTGGAGGGAGGGAGGGGGTATAATGACGTACCTTTGTTTAGTTTGTCGTTTACTACTAGTACTAGATGACTGTGTTGAGGACTGTCTAGGTCCTGTGGACAAGCCATAATTAGTTGGTACCATTCCAATATTCCACTGACTTGAAGAATTCTGAAATAAACACCAAAACAGGTTTAAACTTCATGCAGGTTACCACAGAAAGAAAGAAAGTATTATATTTTACAAGTATTACAACTTAAGTTAAGGATCCTTTCTACCAGCTGGTCCTTGTCCAAACCTCTTGGCATTGATTTTTCTTGGATTATCGGTGCACATTTATAGCTGGGAACACAAGTGATATCATTGGTTGTGTAGATTGTATTCTGGCAGAAGAGTGACACTTCAAAGCTGTTGAATGTCAACAAAGGTATGCCCACTGACCCAATAAATTTTAGAATATCAAGACCTGTCACTCTGTAATTATTTGTCTGATGGTGCTCAGCTTTGAACTCCTTCAACATATGGTGAATATGAAGCTTCACACAAAATTTGATATAAGTCTAGCAACAACTGTGTCCTTAATCTCCTTCACAAGCCAAACAATTGTGACTGACAGACTGAATAGGGCAACTGCAGGATAAATCCCTATCATCATAATGTGGGCATACAAAAACAACTCACCAATGGTAGAACTGGGGCTTGGTCGAAGGCTGAAGTATCTCCCACCATAATGGACTGTCTCCATGATTCTCCTGCTGTTAGGGGGTCTGGTATGACTTGCTGTACTCCTCTCTGGGTACCTATTCCAGGTAGCTGGGGCCATGATCCCATTAATACTTGACGACTAGCAGCAGGCCAGGAGTTGATCGGAGGATTCTGAAATTTAAAGACACTTTCAGAATAAGTTTTCAGAATAACCTGTGAAATTCTAGGATATCAGTCTGGAAATATAAGATAGTTCCAAAAGCGCTTCATCCTTCACTGCGTCAGTACCACAGGTTTCAAAATAAAATATCCTGTTTTAATATATACATAATAATTTGATCACAGATTAGCTGCAATGAAATATTGCTTGTAAAATAACTCAACTATAGAGCTGCATTTAAATTCATATTACAAACTAGTACAAGAAATCAAGATTTAATAATCCATTAATCTCGTTCCTCTTGATGTTCAATGAAACCTGGATCTCAGACAGGCTAGAGTTAGAAAAACAGTAAAACAGCCAACAATGATGCATCTTCACAATATCAAACTATTACGTACAGTGTTTAATACCTTGACTGCAACAGTCACCTTTCTTGTATCAATCTTGCCAATGAATGTTACAGGCATTTATGTCAAGGATTATGATTGGCTATATTCACTGGTGAACAATCCAATCAAATCTGTACATATATTCCATAATACAAGTAAAGAGCTCAATGAAGTCAAGGTATTAAACACAGGTCACAAAAGCTTGATATTTTGAAGATGTCGCAGTGTTAATAAAGCTGAAACCATCACACAATTCAAACTAATTAGTAATTCAAAGTAACAGCCAATAATACTAGCAGTTAAAAGTTGTCTTTTCATTAGCTTGAAGAACTTATAGAACAGAACATAAACTACCAGTATCTATTTTCACTTGCAAAACCTGGCAAGAGGTTTGTCTACAATGCAATATAAAAATTAATGTATCTTTTTAAGGTTGGGGCTCAAGTGCCTGATTTTTTATACTTGTATGACAGCTATGACCACGTTTTTGTAAAAAAAAAATACTTCATCCGACAGTGTGTCTCAAATTTTGTAAGAATGCATTTTCATTGTAAGAAAAAAACAGTAGGGTAGAATAGGGTTTCTTAAGCAAGGCACAAATATTGCTCTGTTTGTATCCTAAAACTCTCTTATCTATTCTTAATTCAATCTAATTATTTGGTAGTAAAATTCAGGGAGCTGGTAAAACTTGATGTAAGCTATCTGCCTATATATTCCAATAAGAAATTAATTTTTTTCCGAGAAAATCAAATCATGTTTAACATCTGCTATAAAATCATCAAATTTTATTTTGAGTGAAAAATTTGTAGAACTTAGTTTTTTCAAGTGTCACAAACCACCCTCTCTGAGAAGCTCCTAAATCTATTTTTTGGATGTTCTGTAGAACTAGTAAAACAAGTGTTTACAAGTCTCACATGTTCTCTATAAGAAGTCCTTACAGTTAAATTATTTGATGGGTAAAGATTATAGAGTTAGAAAGAGAATTGTCAGGGAACCTATTAAAGGTATTTTAAGTTGTAAAGGGAAAGTAGAATAAAAGTAAACCTGGGTAAAAACTGTGGTGCAAGGCATAGAGTTAGAATCTGCTACTCTAAAATAGCGTGCATTATACAGGTACTGGAAAACACTGTCTATAGACACTTTTATCAATATGGCTTATATATTACTCCATATTCAATATTTATACCTACTATTCCAAATTGAATTTGAAATTGAATAGTTGAATAAAACAAACCAATCATAGATATATTTACATCATCTGATTCCAATTTGAAAGTTTTTTCACACATTCTGTTACAAATAGAAAATATGAAGCAATAAAGCCATATTTATGCTGTTTTTTATCAATTTACAAGTCAGTCAAACACTGAAACTTCTGTACAAAAAACCTTTGGATGTAAAGAAAATGCCAAGTTATAATCCACGAATTAATGATCGCCCCACCAGTGCTTCTTAAAGTCTAACTATGGTTGGCAGTGTTTAACCTGTATTATCAATTTAAAAGTTAACAACAGCTTGGCGAGTCTCTTTAACCTAAATTCAACAGTGTTCGATCGACTTGTAGACTGATAAAATGAAGCCGAGTGTCTAATAGAGTAGAATTTGTACATACAGTCATAAAGAACTGTTGAGATGTACCATCCACCAACGTTACTGGTGTTAACTGGCTACCCACATTCTACAACCAATAAACAACTCAGTTATCTTTCCTTTGCTTCAATTACCTCCCTTTACCTACATTAACAGTCTCATAAAAGATGCTAACAACCAATTCTACCCCTTTACCTTTTTACCTATTCATCCCTTTTCTCAACTTTCCCCTACCCATATTTAATTGCATCATTTTCCAAAAAGATTGGAAACAAACTTAGCCATCCTGGACAAGATGGACAACTGCCTTTGGATCTTTAAATATGCTACCTGAGAGTTTTACAATTTTCAGTCAGACATCTGTTTGTCTTGCACTTAAACTAAAAACTTAATGACGAAGCTATCGTAAAAGTTGCTCGTTGTATCTTACAGCCTTTGCAATAGTGATGTCATTAAGCAATTAGTTTTTGTGGAATAACGAGAACCACAGACATCTGACTAAAAATTGGAATAGTGCAAATTGATGCTATCATTTTCCCTGATACACATGTACAGTTGAGAAAACTTTCTTACAATCAATTCGACTAGTGATAAAAAAATTTAAAAAAGAAATTTAAAACTGGCAGTACCTGACTTATTAATTGAGGTTGCAATTGTAGTGTCGGTGCAGCCTGGGTTACCATGGGAACACCACTGGTTCTTGTAGGAGAATTCAAACCTGAAAATACAATAATCAGCTTTTAATTATACATAATTACTGGTTTAATTATGTTCCCATGGTGAACCATTTTTCAAAATTATCGGCATAATTCAAATTTCTAAATTCAGATATAAACTGTCAGAAGTCAAGATATTCAAAGATTTTAAACATGTGTTTATGATCTTTAAGCTTACTAATAAAAAAATTATCAATATTTTAGATTTCATCTTGCATTCTTGAAGATTGGCATTAATCTATAAAGTAAGCTAATCATTTCCTTTGGTAGATCAAAGTTGCATCAAATTTGCAAATTTGTGCAATGAGGGAAATTTTGTCTGTTGAAATAGTTTGACAGCTACTCCTTTAATTGAATCATAGAATGGAGGATTGAACATATTATATTATTATGAAATAATGAATAGATTGAATACAAGTTATGTATAATTCACTGTTAAACTATAATTCACTGTTAAACTATAATTCACTGTTAAACTATAATTCACTGTTAAACTATAATTCACATAATTTCATTAAGCTTCAAGAGAATTCAACTTTATTTACCGGTGGACAATGACAAAAATTCATTTGAGCAGACAACAATACCACTAAGAAAAGCTAGAGTAAGTTAACTTCTCAAGGTACAATGGTAAATCATTATATTTCCGTATTAAAGTGAAATTTCTAGGCTCCTTTCACAATTGAGGATATGACTATGAAAAAAAAACATCTTCATTTTCAAGGTTTGGTCTCTATGACTATATTATATGGCCATGGATAACCTATAAAAATAACTGTATTATCAATACAAGTAAAAATACTCACCAGAGAATCCAGGCGGGACGACTAAGGATTGTGGGATACATAACGATTGTCGGAAAGGATCAGAACGGCTAAACTGTCCACTGTTACGCTGATTGGTTGTTTGTGTCAGGGGTTGAGCCACGTTAGATGGTTGATATGAGAGATAAGTACCAGATTGTAGAGGGTACTGTAAATATGGTATCTCACTACCACTCTGACCTGTACTAGCTAGATTCTGAAATTATACAAGATATAGGGGGGTTAGGCCACACAAAATAAATAGACTATTTAGAATAATTGATCTCATGATGACAATGTAAACAGTTGAAACGTTGTTCACAATGAAACTATGAAGTAGTATACCATAAAATTGAGTTCCATAATTAAGAATGAATAAAATTTCTAACTGTAAAAAGTTCAATAAGCCCCCCTGGAGCACATTGTTTCAAAATTGTATTCAGATAACAAGGGTAATATCAAAGTAAACAGTAAATAAATATAAAACTATTTACCTGTGTATGAAGAGCGTTAATTTGGTTGTTAAAAGTAACAGTAAAGTTGCCGTTACTTGACGGTACAACATTAGTCATCATACCATTACTATTCTGATTAACATCATACACACTGGACTGACGGGGCCTACGACAGATCTCCATTGATTGGACGCTCTGTTTCGTTCTGGAAAGAAGAAATGAAATGAGTTAAAAGAAGGCCGTGGAGCAGTTGGTTAGAGGGTATCCTATCATGACATCATGTGCTTGGTTACATCAGACAATGGTTGTTGTGGGTTCTAATCTGGTCAGTGTGTAAGATTCCAATGCCCTTGACTAAGTCATCTTATTAGTCCAGTCGTCCCAGGGTAGGGACAATCTGGGAAAGATAATGACAAAAGGTTTGGCGAAGGACTAGAACGACAGGGATGAAACAGGGTAATTTAGTGATCAGAATGGTTGAGAGGAAAGTAGTAAATATTGAAGTAACTAGTCACCATTTAACAAGAAGGCACTGGCAAAGGGTATTTAAGTGTATTTTTGGTACAATGAAAAGAAATGGAGTTTTATCTCCTACTTTTCTGAACCTAATTGGGATAATGAAGATTTTCAGGGACTAGAATAAGAAAGATACTTACATGTTACAATGTGGGTAATCCATTAAATGTTTCATTGAAATAAGAGGATGATTAAGAGCATCTATTGGTAGTATACGTCGCTCCTGGTCCAATATCAACATTCTCTTTAATAAATCTATAAACTCTCTCCTATCAACCTTCTCCGCTAATAATTCACTACCCTCTAGATCAGTTGGCACATTAATCTAAAATATAACATTAAATTCAGGGTTTCCATTAAGAGACAAAAACAAGAAAAAGTTCAGTTCTGCATCTACAGTTCCTGTTATAATCAACATTAAAATCCAAAATCACAAGAGAACAAGTGTGGTATTGTACAAATTCTTTTCACAAATTTCAGCAGAGACTTGAATCAGCTATAACAACCTAGTTGTTTTACAGTCACTACTCTTCAAACATCAGTAGGAAATGAAAATGAAATGAATGGAGTTTTACGTCCTACTTTTCTGCACCATGTGGGCTAATGAAGACGGGCAACACCATGAAGGGTGCAATGAGGCAAATTTTGCCAAGACAGCGGCATAAGCCTGCTCTTTTTCGATTTCCAACTGTCAAGAAATCTTTAACGTGCACAGCCTGTAGCACACGGGGCCTCGGTCTATTGTCCCATCCGAACAGTTTTTTCCATGTCAGCCCCTCTCATCTGCATCACTGACAGGGGGAAACCGGGTTGAAAAATCCGAAGGTATTATCTCGATCTATGCTGGGAATATTTAGCAGAAAGAAATTAGAAATTGGGAGACTGGGTTGAAATAAACTTGAGCATGCCAAGTTCTGTAAAAAACACTTTTTCTTTGTAGGTCCATGGCACCCAGCAACAGGGTAATAAATAAGACCTACCTGTCCTATGTCGTCTAAACAATTAAAAATATATTTTCTGGCTTCTTTTGATTTAATTTTAGTTTCAGCTTCATGTTCTTCTGGTGACTGTAAAGGAGAAAATAATTATTTAGAAATATTCTCAATTTCATACAATCCAAACACATAGCACAATTCAAGGTTCAGTCAAACCACTAGTTAATTCTAATAAAACTAAGATTTTATGCCATCACTATCGCAAAAGCTGCTTTTAATATCTATCTTTGTGATATGTACCTCATAAAACGCATAGTTTAAAGGGATTGAAAAGGGACACACATGGCATCAATTTGCGTCCTTCCATTTTTCAATCAGACGTCAGTGGTTCCTGCAATTCCATTTAAACTAGGCGTTTGATGACGTCACTAATAGTAAATATGCTTTATCACATAAAGATTTAGCGATAAGTGACATCATCAAACACCTAAATTGATGCTATCAGTGTCCCCGATACACATAAAATTATTAGAAAACCTCTTTACAATCTCTTTAATTAAAATTGCAAGATTCACAGATATCCCACATAAAAATGTATAAATCAATTCTTTCAGTGTCACCGATACATATAAAAAATTAGAAAATCCTATTTTGAATCCCTTTCCAATATCATAGAACCATCAGATAGCTTGAGAGGTTTGGGCAACAAATCGCTATATATCTCACCTTTAACCTCCAGAAAGGATAACTTGTATCTGTATTATCTCGCATGAAAAATCGGGAAGTTTTGGTGGCAGAACTCAACATATGTTCTGCTGGTAGGCCTTGTGTTTGAGAAATATAACGAATCTGAAAAGAAAAAGTTGTAAATTAATGACTTCTTCAACTTCAGAACAGTGTCAGAAAAACGTACCTTTACAACATAAACTTTCATTAATCAAACTCTCATAAAGTAAATTGAGTTTTATATCTTACTTTCCTGCACCTGATTGGGCTAATGAAACACAAAAAAAACACCATGCAGTGCAATGAGGAAAATTTTGCTTAGTTAGCTGCATAAGACTATTCTCTTTCAATTTCCAAATGCCAAGGAATCTTAGTTCACAGTCTGTAGCAAATTGGGCCTCGTTTTATTGTCCCATCTAAAGACTATCTATAAACCCTTTTTTCAGCACCTCAGAACTGTCTCACTGACATGTGGAAACCAGATTGAATATCCAAATCATAATAAGCCAAATGGCCCTTGTACATTTGCAATCATTATAAATGTTAATCTTTTCGTTATTGGAGAAATAAGCCCTGTCCCTGTACCATATTATGGACATTGTTATACTCCATGGATATAAATTCATAGTTTACAGCTGCACAATAATTTTAAAAGTAAATCAAGTACCAACCTGGTCATATTCTGAAGAACCTGGATATAAAGGCCAACCCAGGAAGAGTTCTGCTATAACACAGCCTAATGACCACATATCTATTGCCTCACAAAACGGTAAACCTAATAATATCTCCGGAGCTCTGAAATATATAGGTATATTCATAAATAAATATATTTCCAAAAATATACAAATGTTCCATAAACTAAAACTCTACTTAGTGCAGTACTTGCCTCAGGGTGAGATGGGTCAGAATGGGAAGGGCTTATTTGAGAAAGGGGGGGAGTACATATCAGGAATGGGGCAATATGGGAAAGGGACTAAGTAATGCGGGGTGAATTTGGAAAGGGCAAACTGGGAAGGGACGTTATGGGAAGACACCAATACTGAGTGAAATATTGGATGGAATGAGAAAGAGAATGAATGAATGAATGAATGAATGTTACAAACATGGTATAACTGTGTGGATAATGTCAATAAATATGTATATCTAGGATTTGTCTTGTCATTAACAAGCTATACAGTATGTTAGTGATGATATTTTCAACCTCATGCAGTGTATAATAAGATGGACAAGGTTCACAGATTCTCTTGTGAGAAGGAATACTAATATAAAATTAACACACAGATTGAAAACCTTTATATCAATTTGAAATCTTTAGACTCGTGAATCAATGTTTAATATTTAGGTTTAATAAATCAGTGATTGCATTTATAATTAGAACAATACCACTTTTCTCCAAATTGTTTTTGAGTGCAGACTGCGGAGTATAAAATTATTATTTTCATTCAAAATATCCTGATATGGGAAAACCAAAATTTGGTCTGGACATGAATTTAAATATACATTATGGAAGGTGGTACAGCTTAGGGCTGGCTAAACTTATCTACATAATCGATTATCAACTCTAGCAATTTATAATTTTGATTATTGATTATCAAATTTCATGATTGATTCTATATATAGTCATAGTCACATTGTACCGGTTAACAACAGGGGGGGAAATTGGTAGATACTAGGGAGGAATCATTGCCTGGGGAGGAAATGGAGAGGAATCGTCCGACCAAGGAGGAAATGGGAGGCAAGGTGATCTATGACTGAAATTGATGTCATTCATTGATATGGAGTATTATCATATATCCATTCATGGTTAATTGTTGAATACATTTGTTAGTTAAACATGTTGAAAAAGACTGATCTATTTTCTGGGAGGAATATATTTGGTAGAACTGGGAGGAATGATCTCTGATCTACATTGCCCTATAGTTATATCACAATAATTAATATAAAGTATGATTCTATATATAGTTAATAGGAGTGTCCAATACATAATGTCTAATCAAGCTTCAAGCTAATGGCCGAGTTATTAGTTCTATTCTATTAAATACAATAATTATATCAATAATATTTTCTTGTTGAGAGAATCAGAAAGTCATGAGGTTGTGGCGTGCTATGATGTTAAAGAGATTGTAAAGAGGTTTTCTAAATTTTCATAAAGTGTATCGGGGACACTGATAGCATCAATTTGCATTATTCCAATTTTCAAACAGACGTCTGTCATTTAAAGTGTTTGATGACGTCACTAATCGTACATCGTAGAGGGTCTTATGTGATGAAGCATATTTTGTTCTTGTGTAAAATTTAGAAAATTTTCTATCGAGAGCTCTGATTGACTGTATTTGCTGACATGCAATCCAATCAAATTGCTGCATTCTGTGATACAAAGGTATAAGATACAGTTCGTAATAGCTTGACATTGTGAAGATGACCTGCATCTCACCAGGATTTCAACTGGGAAAATTAACACCAACAATTATCATTTAACTTTTAGTCTAGTGTTACTTAAACAACTGAACAAGACCTTTATAACAAATACACAAACATAGTGTAAACATAGAATTTATCTATCAAGCTTAGAATAGACCATAAACCATGGCTTTTTGAATCAATATTAGTTAAAAGGTCATTTCCAAGAGGTTTTGTAAACACTAGAAACAGTTTATATAGTCTTGGTTGTACCAGTACATATAACTTAATAGATATTTATTAGTACATGTGTAGTCAAGATTGTGTCAGTACAGATAGAGTTCAGCCCTGTATTTTAAGTGTTTCATAGCACTTGATGTTTCCTACATTATTAGACCAAACTTTTGTTCCATTTTTTATTAGCTTTCATTATTAATATAGCCACTTCAGTTTGGGTCTAAAGACAGCATTACAAAATCCCACTGCTGAATTTGATTGGCAAATTGCAAATGTTTCAAGAAGGCTGTCTTCAGACCTTAACTTAAGTGGCCGAATTTAAAATAAAAGCTAATAAAAACAGAAGGAAAGTAGAACAAGTCATGTCATTTCACTAATAACAATTTAATTAATTTAAAACTTTACCCTAATATTGTTTCAGTTTGGTATTAAATATTATATTGTCAATATCTAAATAATTGGAATGAAAATTGTCACCCATTACCACCCTACGACTTATTGAGCACTTAATTTTCAAAATACCACATTTGTTTGGCTCTTACGTGGATCTCATATATATAAATATTATAATGGACTAAGAAGTCAGGAAAAAACAAACTTGTTTACCATGTTTCAGAACAAAGGAAATTGAAGGTCTATAATGGCAAATAAAGAGAAAATTTGATGATAATTTCATTAATTATTATGATAATGATTTACTGATAATTGGAGAACTATTTTGATCAGGGAGAAACTCTAAATTATCTAAAAGAAATAAAAAACAATGGAGTCTTAAAGCTAATTTCCTGCACCTTGATGTGTGCAATGAGGGACATTTTAGCAAGGACAACATTAGCCTTCTCTTCTACAACCAGAAATGAAATGAAATGAATGGAGTTTTACGTCTTACTTTTCTGCACCATGTGTATGAATGTTAGATAAGACCATGTAATGGACCTAATTCTGACCCATGTAAAATAAAGAGTTTATAATCATTATTGTATAATGTAATATTATGATATAACCAGGTAATGTTCCATTTAATATAACAAATGTCAACAACAACTATAAAATATAATAAGTAAATTAACATACTTCAATCTCACGGTGTTTCTATAAACAAACTAATAAATAACATTATTTTTGTTTTATTAAGAGATATAAATGGGATTTTAATCTAAACAAAATAAAACATGGTCTACCTTAATAGAGTTTATATTGATATAAAATAGAGTTACAGTTCTAATTTCTAACACGTGATTGATATAATGAGTGAAAACACCATGTAATGTGAAATTTATCAGAACACTGGCATCAGTCTATTGTTTTAGACTTCTAATTGTCAGGGTATTAGATATCCGAATGTAATATCTCAACCTCCAACCATGTCAAGATTTAACCCAGGTCCTAATAGCCAGTCAGAAATCCCTTTATCTCAGTGAATAACTGTTCACCCCATTCGTCTGATAAAAGAAAATTTTTTTCCTTTTGATCATTAGAATAAGCTATTTCTATCATTCTATGAGTTTATCAGATCAATCAAACACAAAAATATCTGTATCAATAGTCCAGTAAGGAGCAATATCTTCCATTGATGAGTGAATATAATTTGAGAAAGTGTTTAGAACAGAAAGATTATATATATCGAATACTTAATACTTTTTATTCCATGATTTTTCATAAAGTATCCAAGCTAAGATCATAATGTTTTGATCTTGTAATTTTAAATATATTAGACATCTTTTCACCAGATATTAGCTTGATTGTTTGAAACATTTAGAAAAGATATAATTGTATTATAGTTGTATAATATATTTACTACCTACAGTTAGTTTATATAAATAGTATTATAGTGATAGCCTTGATAACTTATTTATATCTCTCTTTATAACCCAATTAACTTTCTTTTTATCTCAAAAATAACATAATATTTACTTTTATTATCTTCCTATTAAAACTATTTCACTGATTAGTCTATCTGTGTTGTTATGTATTGTTCATAAAATATCTCTCAGTCTTGGAGACAGAAGTCAGCCAGCCCAACTTTCTATTTTTCTGGGAGAAAGCATAACATTTCTTTTATAACAATCTTTATTCATTGGTTTGTGTTGTGTATTTTCTATGAAGAAACTATGGGTTGAGTCTTTAAAGGTCTTGAATAGGTTTGAACATCATGAGACAGAAATTATTTGGTTTGATAATTTATACTGAATGTTTAAAGGAATTGTAAAGATGTTTTTAAAATTGTTCATGTGTTTCAGGAACACTGATAGCATCAATTTGCACCATTCCAATTTTCAATCAGATGTATGTGGTTCCTGCAATTCCACTAAAACTAAGAGTTTGATGATGTCACTTATCGCAGAATATGCTTCTATCACATAATGCTCGTTGCACTTTGTGAAGAAATTTTAGGATGACTATATTCCTTGATTTTATTTTCTGTTCTATTTTTGAATAGAGATAAATTTAGAGTAAGTGAGATAGAAAAAATATAACTTATACATGTATTTATATATCAAATTTTAATTTAACATTTCACTAGGTATCATAAAAAACACTTATAATATTCATATAAATTTATAATTAAAGTTTTACAAATTGTTTACCTTCACCCTTTATAAATAGCAACAACCTAACAACATAGTAGTTAAAATATACAGTACTGTATAACTATATCTTCTTTTTAAATGTCTATTAGGAGCTGTGGTGGTTCAGTGAGTTAGACGCTTGCTCGCTAACCTAAAGATCCAGGGTTCAATCCTGGTATAAGTCGAGATAATACCAGATTTTTCAACCAGTTTCCCCCTGTCAGTGAGTTAGACGCTTGCTCACTAACCTAAAGATCCAGGGTTCAATCCCGGCATAAGTCGAGATAATACCAGATTTTTCAACCAGTTTCCCCCGTCAGTGAGTTAGACGCTTGCTCGCTAACCTAAAGATCCAGGGTTCAATCCCGGCATAAGTCGAGATAATACCAGATTTTTCAACCAGTTTCCCCCTGTCAGTGAGTTAGACGCTTGCTCGCTAACCTAAAGATCCAGGGTTCAATCCTGGCATAAGTCGAGATAATACCAGATTTTTCAACCAGTTTCCCCCTGTCAGTGAGTTAGACGCTTGCTCGCTAACCTAAAGATCCAGGGTTCAATCCTGGCATAAGTCGAGATAATACCAGATTT